GCGGGAGGCTCGTGGGCAGAGCACATCAGGCTCCTCAGGCTCCAGCACCTGCTCCACCTGCCCTCCCCAGATTCTCCCACGTCTCCAGGCCTCATTCCTCAACTGGAGACCATGGCTTCAGCTGTCAAGTCTCAGATGTTAACACAAATCACTTTTTTAAAAAAAATTGTAAGGTTTTTGCCATAGGGTGCATGCACTTGTTGGAGAGAGAGTCAGTGAGAGGGAAAGAAATCACCCTCCAAAGGAGATGGCCACCCCATCATCCTTTCTTCTTCTTTCTTCTCTTGGGATTTTGGGCACACACACATATGCCCAGCATGATTTTCAAGCTTCCAGGTCTGGGACTCAAACTGCATTCAACCACATGAGAGTCCAGCACCTTAACTACCAAGCCATCTGCTGGCCTCTCTCTTTTTTTTTTAATTATTCACTGAATTGCTTTTATAATGACGGTGGGGTGGGTTGGCCAACTAAACTTGACCTAAGTAAGTCACGTCAAAGTCACAACCACGCGCACGGAAGGAGCATACCCCACTCGCTGTGCACTCTCCAAAGCTGGGGACGTGTCCTGCTCACCTCCAAGGGTCACCCTCAGCGTGAAGCACAGTGTCAGGCACACGGCTCCACGGAAGCTGGTTTGCTAGAACGATGACTGGCACATTGTGGGCATCCAGTCAGCTTCTGCTGGCCAGGTGAGCAGTGGGTTGCGTACTCTGTCTTCGAACAATGTGTGACATCTTTTTCCACCTCCCTTTGGAGCGCTGCACACACACCCCTCTCCAGCACGCCCTGCCCTTACCTCTTCTGCAGTCTCATCTCTCTGGCCCTTAGTGTCCCACAGTGTCCCTTGCTAAGCTCTGCCAAACAGTGATCTCCTCCCCACCTGAGGCCTGGAACACACGGAGTCATCGCATGACAGCCAAGGGGCTACTTTCTCAGCAGCTTTATTGAATAGCCAGAGGTGGTATCAACGCCCACTGGGCACGTGTCCTCAAGCATGTATAAGAACTGTTTGGGGACAGACAGACAAACAGGGGGCAGGGCAGGGCAGGTGTCCCGGGGCGGGGGATGAGCGCACCAGGGACAGCTCAGCTCTCCAAAGGGGCCGGTGGCTCCTGCTCCGGGAGGGCGACAGGTTTGTCCTGGCTCTCTTCCGTCTTCATGGTGTTGAAGAAAGAGTCGAGCTTCTCTCTCAGGTCTTTCTCCAGGAAGCTCAAGTGGTCTCCCATGTCCCCGCCATTGGGGCCCAGCTTCTGCCTCAGTCCCTCCATCTGCTGCACCAGCGCCTTGTTGAAGGTTTCTCCGTAGGGCTCCAGGTTGCGGCGGAACTCCTCCACCTGCCGGTCGAGGTGGCCGGTCCGCTCGGGCCGCGA